AAGAGCAGAAAACCCACCTCAAACTAATTTAAGCCACAGAGGAAATTGATTAGCTTACATGAATGGGCAGAGTAGGGCAGCATTGGTGGATCCAGGTGCTCAAATAATGACAGTGTGGGTCTTTATCTCTTCAGCTCTTACTAGTTTTCATTCCTTAGGTAGCCTTCTGCCCTGTGACAGGCAAGTTGGTCTCCAGTATCATCAAGTTGACATCCTTCCAACTTAGCTACTTCAATGAAAAGAGAAGCCATCTCTCACATTAGCTCTGGCACAGAAATCCTCATGATTATTCTCATTGGCAGGGCTTGTCATATCCAACCATGAACCAATCACTGTGGCCAGGAGAATGGGTTACTCTGGCAGGCTTGGGACATGTGCCCCATTCTTGTGTCTCGGGGAGGAGACCTGTTACTGACAGTCCCTCCATGATCATGTGGCATGTATGTTAATTCTAATTTAGCAAGTCCTTGATTGATTGCCATGTGGGTTATTTGTAATCTTTTGCTCTTACTAATAATGAAAATCTAGTTGAGGTTTGAACACAAGTTTGTCTGATTTACAGGGCATAATTTGTCATAGTTGTAAAGAGTACATTACAATAAAGGGCACAAAATGAGCCTGGCTAGTAGCCACTCTTAATTGAAAGTTGTTAATGGAAAGATGGGAATTTGACAAATGAGAAGAAGGAAATTTCATCAGAAAGTCTGAGACCAGAGGAGAGTATAGGATTCTTAACAGTGGTTTAGGTGGCCCACATGAGAAGAGGGGTCACTCAATGTTCATACGTTAAGTAGGCAGTAGAGTGCCACACAGCATCTGGGCTCGGGCTCATCTGGCATGCATTTGTCTCTGTGCTTCTTGGATAAGTTAGCTTCTCTCTGTTTCAGGGTGCTCTTCAAAGTGAGGGTAATAACGCTGCATACCTCATGAAGTAATGAGCTGACTGTGAGCACTGCTTTGTGTTTGGGCATGGTACTACCAGGAAGTGTGTTCAAGTACACTTTCTTTTTCTGTGTTTTTTTTTTCCTGATAGTTTTTTTTTTCCTTAATTATTTTAACACAATTGTAGATTCACAGTTATAAAAGTTATGTGGAAATGCTGTTCACTTTACCCAGTTTCTCCCAGTGGTAATATCTTGCAAAACTATAGTACAATATCACAACCAGGATATTGACATTTATATAGTCAGGTTATAGAACATTTTCATCACCACAGGGATCTCTCATGTTGCCTTTTTATGGTCAGGTTCACTTTCCTCCTACCTATCCTCTCCTTAATCCCTGGCAACCACTATTTTGTTCTCCATTTCTGTACTTTTATTTCAATATCAAGTATGTTACATAAAAGTAATAACAGTATGTGACCTTTTGGGATTGGCTGTATTCACTCAGCATAATTCTTTGGAGATTCATCCAGGTTGTTTCACATGTCAACCTTCTCTTTTATTGCTGCATAGCAATTCTATGGTAAGGATGTACTACAGTTTGTTTAACTATTCAACCAGTTGAAGGGCATCTGGGTGTTTCCAGGTTTTGGCTGTTACAAAGGAAGCTACTATAAACATTTGTGTTCAGATTTTTGTGTGAGTGTAAGTCTTTATATCTCTTGGATTATGCCCTCAGAAATACAATTGCCAGGTTGCATTGCAGTTGCATGATTAATTTTTTTAAAGAAAATGCCAAACTTTTTTCTCCACCCCAAGCAACTGTACCATTTTTGTATTCTCGTCAGTATTGTAGGAGTGGTTCAGTTACTCTGCATACTTGTCAGCATGTAGTGTTCTCACTATTTTTATTTTAGCCATTCTGATAACTGGAGTAATGTTGAGTCTCTTTTTGTGTGCTTATTAGGCCTCTGTGTATCTTTCTTTTTGTATCTGTATCTATTGCACTTTTTAAAAATTGAATTTATTGGGGTGACATTGGTTAATAAAATTACGTAGGTTTCAGCTGTACACTTCTGTAACCCATCATCTGTACACTGTAGTGTGTGTTCGCCACCCCATCAGGTCTTCCTTCATCACCATTTATCCCCCCCTTGTCCTCTCCTGCCCCCCTGTATATTTTCTTAGGTGAAGGAACGGGATTGTGTGTTCTTTTTTCTTTTGTTTATTTTCTAACTGGATTGTGGGTTTTTTTTCAGTTTGGTGTTTTGAATTGTAGACGTCAGTCCTTTGTCAGATTTGCAAAGGTTTGCTCCCATTCTGTAGTATGTCTTTTCATTCTCCCAAAAGGGTTTTTTGCAATGCAAAAGCTTTTAATTCTGATGATGTCTGTATTTAATTTTTCTTTTTATGGATTGTGCTTTCTGGTGTCAAGTCTAAGAACTCTTCACCTAACTTTAGGTCTAGAAGATTTTCTCTTATGATTTTTTTCTAAAGGTTATGGTCTTACATTTTACATTTAAGTCCATGGTGCATTTTGAATTAATTTTGTATAAAGTGTGAGCCTTAGGTTGCAGTTTATTTTTGTCTATAAATGTCTGATTGCTTCAGCACTCATTTTTGAAAAGGCTGTCTTTCCTCCACTGAGTTGCTTTTGCACTTTTATGAAAAATCATTTGAGCATATTTATGTGGGTCTATTTCCAGGTTCTCTGTTGTGTTTTGTTGATCTGTGTTTATATTCTACCAATATTACACAGTCTTAATTACTTAATAAGTCTTAAATTGGTCAGGCTAATTCCTCCCACTGTATTTTATTTTTTACCAGTTGGTTTAGACATGTTAATTTCTTTACCTTTCCATATAAATTTTGGAACTCAAATGTGTACAAAAAATATCACTGGGATTTTGATAGGGATTTAATTTTAAACTTGTATGTGAATTTGGCCTTCATTGACACTGAGGGTTGGGTGAGGCTTCATTACTGGGTCATTGGTTGCTTTGGAGGTCTAGGGTCCCAACTTGGCCTTCTGATTCTATCCTGGTGGGGTGTATTGGGGTGCCTCATTATGTACTCATAAGGAAGACATCAGGGCTTCCCACTTGGCCTTTGTGACTTGTCTGGAGGTAGGACTATAGTTTTGTGGAGTTTTTGTATTTTTGTTTTTAATAGAATGGTTATTTTCTAAAAGTTTTCTGCTTTGCTAGGCTGCCCCTTTTCTGGTTCTTTGATAAGAAAACAGGCTTTTGTTGGGGGCTTTTCTTGTCTATATTTTTTGGCACTTCTTGGTTGCTGGTTTCTTTAGCTCTATGTCTTGGAATATGAGGCAACCTCCCCCCCCCCCC